ATCATTCCTGAATCACAAAGTTCATCCTTACAAATGTGTATCATGTCTGTCATCACAGGAGACTAGAGCGAGGGCTACATGGTGGAGGGGACCTGGGGGAGGGTTTGTAAAACAATGAAAGAATCTTTTCTTTTACTTTCCATAATTTCTGGACTCATGTACTTATAACTTATTAGTCAAATTTGTGTCTTCTAGGTTGCAACACCCCCATGATACATCTTCAAGGATATGAACATGTACAGCCAAGCACAATCAATAAGAGTGCATCTAAATTCCAAAATCAATCTCCATAATAGTCTATGTGTTTCCTACTGCCAAAGGGGCCCTTTAGAGTAGTGAGAGAAGATCTTCACCCTGAAACCCACAGCGTCCCTTTTCAGCAGGAAGTAGCTAAGAGAATACGCCATCCCCTTTTCCTTATGACTCAGGGTGAAGTCTCTCTCAGGGAGGAGTGATAGGGAATGGCAAGGGATACACTGACAAAGAAGATTAATCAGAACTGGCTTTGACAAGCACTGTGGCATTTGGACAAGAACAAACTGCGAGGAGGGTAGAGAGAATAGTGCAACAATGAATGAGTGGAAGCCCAAAATCTCTGTAAATGTTTATGAAAATTAATAAAATATAATTATAGAAAAAAAAACCAAATGTGTATCATGTCAGGCTTGGAAAGATGACGGCTCAGCAAAGGGGAGGAATGACCCCCAATGAGATGGGTTGACACAGTGACGTCAGCCACGGCCTGTGGTGTGTCAGAGATGATGAGGACGGCACAGGACAGGGCAGGGGTCGGGTCAGCTGTTCATAGACTCGCTATCAGTTGTACGCGACTCGATGGCACCTAACAACAGCAACATCATCATTGTATAACAGTCAAATCATTGAGGACAACGGTCCAGGACAAGTTAACGCACAAGCTTAACCCTCACACTGCCCAAGTGGTCTTATGATGGTGCTGATAATCTGTTTTGTGGAATCAGCAACAAAACGAAACGTTATGGCTTGCTTATTAACCTTAATTCTCTCCCACCAGTTGATGTAACCTGCATAAGACTGTGTTTACTCTGTATCTGAGCTCACTGAGTAGGTCGGAATTCAGTAAATCCCGGCTGAACGGATGGACAGGGGAGGTGGGTGAAAGCACAGAGGGTGAGACCGGAGATGGAAGAACTGATGAGTGATGGACCGGAAGACGGATGGATGCCAGCGTTAACGGATGACTGGCTTGATCAACACACAAAAGGGCAGGTATGAATGAATGGATCGATGGTTTGGTGTAAGGATGTGTGAGTGAGTGGATGGCAAATGGGTTTCTGGATTGATGGTTTGGTGGCTAGATTATTGGTTGTTTAACTGGATGAATAGGTTGGATCACTGAGTGTGTGGATGAATCAGTGTGGATGGATAAAAAGAATGATTCAGTGAGTGGATGAATGGATGAACGGGTAGGTGTGTACGTACATATGTGTAAGTGTTATGTATGCATGTAGGATGGACGGATAGGTGAACAAATGAGTGAATGAACCGGGAGATGAATGGGTGGGTAAGAGTGAGCATGAATCAATGAGCCAGTGAATTGGTGGGGTGTGCACGTAGCAGGTTGTGTAGAGGAGCCATCAAGTTGACTATGACTCAAAGAGACCCCAAGTACAAGACAACAGGGCACTACCTCCCTGCGTCACCCTCACAATGATGCCATGTGTGAACCCACTCTGAGTCTGTGTCAGTCCATCTCATTGAAGGTCTTCCCCTTTATTCCTGACCTTCCCCTTTATAAAGCAGGAAGCCTTTCTCCAGGGACTGGTTCCCCCTGACAACATGTCCATAGAGGGTGAGATGAAGTCTGTCTCTCCCTGAATCTAAGGAACATTCCAGCCGCGCCTCTTACACGACAGATTTGTTTGTTCTCCTGGCAGTTCAAGGCGGAACATTAATAAGTAGTCCTCTCACTGCTCTTAGTTGTCAAGGATTTCATTTTACTTGGACTGACATCCACGGAGGCAGCAGTCAAAAAATCCAAGCCTATACTGCATCGGGTAAAGCTGCTGCCAAGGACCTCTTCACAGGGTGGAAGAGGAAGCACGGCCCTTTCAAACAAGGCGCTTCTGCTCCGAAACACGGCTTTTTCAATTGTCTCATACGCATATGGAAAGTGAACAATGAAGTTAACAAAGGAAGAGAGAAAAAGAGCTGGTGCATTTGGATGGTGGTAAAGAAAGCTGAACATGCCCTGGACTGCCGCAGAATAAGCCAATCTGGAGCTCTGGTGGCAAGAAGCTGCACTGCAATCCCAGAGGTAAGAGGTTCGAATCCACCAGATGCTCTGCTGGAGAAGCTGGGGTAATCGCCTCCTGTACCAGTCAGATCTGATTTGACGGTACACACACACACACACACACACACACACACACACACACACACACACACAAAAAAAAATGAAATAAAATTTAAAAGAAAAAAGAATAAGCCAATTTGTCTTGGAAGGCATACTGGGCCATAAAGAGAAAGGAAGTTCTGACTTACATCAGAACACGAATGAACTATGAAAAACTACGTTGTGTGAAAGAAGGCCATGTGTCTTATGATTCCCTGTTATAAAATGTCCAGGACAGGGATCCACAAAGACAAAAGAGACATTTGCAGTTTCTGGGGCTGGGGTCACGCGGAACGGGGAGGGACTGCTTGTGGGCCTGGGATCTCCTCTGGAGGAGGATGAGAATGTTCTGAAACTACCTGGAGGTGATGGTCGCAAGGCTTGGAATACCACTGAGGCGACGGTGCCCAGTCACCTCTGCAGACCACTCAATAAGGGATCATAAGAGAAGGTCCCAGTAAAGTGGGAGAAAAACGTGGGTCAGAGCTTAGAATGAATGATAACAAGAATCAGGCCTGATGGAGACCGGTGAGGCCATGAGGCTGTGGTCTCCAGACTCCCAAGATGATGACCTTACTCAGCCTCCACCCACCCAGTGGCTCAAATTTCAGCTAAGCTCATAAGGTGAACAATAACACCAGGCAGGGTCCCTGGAACAGCCAGCCACACAGGAGCAGCAGGACAGCATATGCCCAGCGGTCAGCCACAGAAAGAGGAAAAAAGGCTGAATGGAAACACGACATTCAAAGGGGAAGTGGGAAGAGTCCTGCAACGTGGCGAGGATTGTCATCAACACCACTAATGAAAATGAGTCCGAATTATGGAATGGAAAACCAGCTTGTTCCAGAAATTTTCATTCCAGTCATAAAAAAAAAATCAAAGGTAAATTTCAGGTCTATGAATTTTGCCTCCATCTCTCTCTCTCTCTCACACACACACACACGCACACACACGCACACACACCACCCCCTCTCCAGATTTGGTCCCTCCACAGCAGCTGGGAGCTACGTCTGAGAAGTATGTCATAAACCCTTTGTGCCCTGGGTCCTCTCTGAGGGGCATTTAGTTGTGATGTTTTCAAGCTGGTGCTGTAGAGGGCTGAGAGCAGGCTCTCTGGCCCCCAGCAGGCCCCATGGTGTCCACTTCCATCCCCTTTCTGTGCCATGTTGACCCCTGTGGAGCCGACTGTCCTTAGGACCACTGTCTGCATGGAGGGTCTGTATCCACACATGGTGGTCCCTCCAGCGGCGTCAGCACTGGGAGACCTGGGGCTGCACAGACACAGACTATTTCCTGCTCCCTGCTGCTCACCAAGCCCTAGGTAGGAAAGAGTGCAGGGTCCCCCCACCTGAGCAAGACTCTCACCCGGTCCCACCCTGGAGCACCCCTGTGCCGGACGGAAGGGTGTCTGGACACCTGCTGATGACCCACTGCACTGGCTGCATAAGCAAGGGGTTTACGGTGAAGTCAAACCATGGCCCTTGGCGTTACCAAAGGCACAGGTCCAACCCACCATTCCCTCTGCAAGCTGAGAAGATCCTGCCACCTGAGTCACCGCCCATTGAGGGAAAAGCCTGACTTGACACAAACTCCAACATGGCGGGAGCATGAGAATGGGCATGGGCAGGGAGAAGGAGAAAATTCAGAGAAGGTGTCCTACGAGGACGGAAACTCTGTGCACGCTGTTCCCCAGCACACTGCCTGCATGTTCCCTGTGAGGGGACGTCCAGGAAACTGCCCCCCAGCACATTGTCCCCATGTTCCCGGTAAGTGGACGCCCAGCATGCTGACCCCCAGCACAATGCCCTCATATTCCCCATAAGTAGACATCCAGGATGCTGCCCCCCAGTACAGTGTCCCTAAATTCCTGGTAAGTGGACATCCAGGATGCTTCCCCCCAGCACAGCGTCCCCATATTTCCTGTGAGGGGATGTCCAGGACACTGCTCCCCAGTACAGCGTCCCTAAATGCCTGATAAGTGGTGGACATCCAGGATGTTGCCTCCCCGGCACGGCGTCCCCAAATTCCCGGTAAGTGGACATTCAGCACACTGCCCCCCAGCACAGCATCCCCAAATTCCCCATGAGTGGACATCCAGCACACTGCCCCCCTCAGCCCAGCGCAGCTGTATTCCCCGTGAGGGGATGTCCTGCACACTGTCCTCGAGCCCAGCATCCCTACAGTCCCCGTGAATGGACATCCTGCTTGCTATTCCTCCAGCCCAGCATTCTTGTATTCCTGGGGTGGATGTCCTGAGTGTCCCCCAGCCAAGCACCCCCATATTCTCTATGAGGAGATGCTTTGTGGGAATGCTGACCCCATCTTTCCTGGGCCCAACTTCAGTCTCCACATTCTTCCACATTCTGACTGCTTTCCCCTAGACAAGGCTCCGTTCTACTCTTTGGAAAGATATTCCTGGCCCACCTAGATAGCTGTTCTCCACACTGCGGGCCACCCAGGTGTAACCTTCCAGGTAGCGCTCTGAAGACGGGTCCCTTCATCCAGCACCCACGTGCTCGGGGCCACAGCGCACTCTGAACTGGGCCAGAACGGATCAGCACTTCCCTGGAGGATTGGTGCATCTCAGCCCAGGTAGGGCCTGGCCAAGGAAAAAAATGTCTCTTACCTGGCTGCATCAAAGCTGTCGTACGAGCCAACCGTGTAATGCCTGAAGAGTTTCTTGCTGCGATCCGAACGGGTTTCTGTATAGAAAGGAAGGGGGCAGATAATTAGAAAGGGGACAGCCCAGACCATATGGGGGCTTGGAGGTGTCTGACCCACAAGGAGTGAGGAGGAGTTGAAAGAGAGAGAGGCCTTGTTCTGGGGTCTGCCCAGGGCAGGCCGAATGGGGAGTCCCAAGCAGCTTCCGGAACAACTCAAAGCAGAGGCTGAAGCCCTGGGCCTGGGCACACAGGGACCAGGAGGTCAGACTGTGCAGAGAACAGTGTCCTGGAGCTGGCCCTGCAACCACAACATCCACGTGGCTGGTGGCATCGCACAGAGCAGCCTCGGAAGTGGGCAGCTGACCCCATCGCCAGGCTACGAACGCACCGAGGATGGCCTTGGGGTAAAGAAGCGATGTTTATGATCGCTTTCCAGAAGATATCTGCTTCTCATTTGGGGAAAAATAAATCCAAACAAACATGGTCAACGTTCCTAATGAAGTCTTCTGTTGGCTTCCCTTACTCAGCAGATATTGATGCAAATTTCACGGGGAGATGATACGAACGATGTAATTAGATCGAGTAGCTAGCTCAGGGCTTGAACGGGGCAGGTGAGCAGGAGAAACAGCTCATAAAAACTCAAAGGGAAACCTGAGAACAGCAGGCCCTCGCGCTGCTGGTCAGTTTAACCCTAATACAATTTCCCACACAATCTCCTTCCCCAACCTTGCAGGAAATGCAGGGACATTGTGCCACTGGCTTCAGGGGCTGGAATCTAACACAAAGTTTTGTAAACGGCTCTGCTGTTCCTTCCAGTTCCTTACTACACAATGTATATGCTTTTACTCAAAGTCCAGGACACATTCGCAATTCAGAGGTGAACACTGCAGGGCAGCAGGGAACATCAACATCTCCAGGTCTCCTCTACGCTCAGGAAACCCAGTGCAGAGTCAATACAATTGCATGCTCTTTTTTCCTAAGCAGCAAGGCGCAGCCATCTGACCAAGGACTACATTTCCCAGCTTCCCATGCACTGGCTAAGCTCACGTGATCCATTTGCACCAATGAGATGTAAGTTCATGCAACGCTGGTCCCTCCTAAGGTTGGAAGCCTCCTCTCTGCCTGTTCAAAGCCGTGTAGGACAGAGGAGAGAGGGCTGGAGGACAGCCTGGTCTCCGCACACCAGACTGTTAGAAAAGCAGGAAACAACCTTCTACCTCATTGCTGGGTGTTGGGTGCTCTGAGACTTGCTCCCAGATCCTTCCCCATCCCGTCCTCATCACGCCCTAAATATCTGAATCTCCCACACGTGACTAAAAGCTCCACCATCCCCTTCACCATGGCTGATGCTTATAAGCACCTTCTGTGTAAAGGGAGGTCTGGTGGTGCAGTGGTAAGGAACTGTGCTGATAACTCAAAGGTCCGCAGTTCGAATGCACCATCTGTTCCCTCTTCTGTGATCTACTGCCCCTGAAAATCTGCCGGAGAGGCAGCGAAGGCTTGGTTCTAACTCTACAGCACACAACAACAACAACAACAACACCGTGGACCAGGCCTGGACCTGGGTGCCATACGTGCATGCCTTCACTTAACCCTACCACCTCCAAACAAAAGAGGTCACATCTTCTCTCTGATTCCCTCATGTCCGGGTAACCCCCTCTCCTGTGCCTCTTTAGTCCCCGGTCAGGAACTGGATAACCCCCCAGAGAATTTAATGAGCTATCAATGCTCCTGTCCAGCTTGTCTCCTGCCCTGGGACAGACCGGTCTGGCTAACATGTGTCCTGGGCCTCATGTCAAGGACAATGACAGAAAAACGCGCATGGGGAAGCAACCTGTCAGAAGTCACCAGCTAAAGGCAGGTAGGGCCCTGCTCCAAGACCATCCCTTCTGTGACCACACATCTGTTCCTGCTGAGATGTCCCGTCCTCTGTGACCACACATCTGTCCCTGGCAAGATACCCCATCTCCTCTGTGACCTGATGAGTGTCCATCCTCTCTGTCCACACACATCTGTCCCTGCTGAGATGCCCCATCCTCTTTATGACCACACACCTCTGTCCCTGGTGAGAGTGTCCGTCCCCTCTGTGACCACACACATCTGTCCCTGGTGAGAGTGTCCGTCCCCTTTGTGACCACACACATCTGTCCCTGGTGAGAGTGTCCGTCCCCTCTGTGACCACACACGTCTGTCCCTGGTGAGAGTGTCCTGCCCTTGGCTCTCTTATTTGCTCAAGGGCAGGCCTTGATTTTCCTCTTCCCTGTTCAGTCCTGGAAGCTAACTCTGCTGACCTGGTCTGCTGATCACTAAACAATAAGCACACAAGAACACTTGCCTCTCGGAGTGGTCTGTGTACACAGGCCCCTCCAGGCCAGACACGGGCCAGCCTTGAACCTCTTTCTTCCTCCAGTACATGCACGCACACGCACACACACACCCCTCTCCCCATACATACATTCACTATTCTCTAAGTGCCAGGGCCCGGGGCCTCTGACTCCAGTCAGGACCTATTCTGGTCAGCTCCCAGCTGAACGGAGGTCAAAGGCACAGAGAGAATACAGAGCAGTGCTCACAGAGAATGGTCATGGTCATGTCCCTCATGGCTGCTTGAGCGCCTCTGCTGACCCCTGCTGCTCCTGTGTTTGGCCCATGTATTGCTTCCCTCACTTCCATCGCCGGGACCCTGAGCCTGTGTCCTGCACATGTCCAAGGACACTACGGGTCGTCGGTCCTACTGGGAAGCAGTTCCTAAGCCACAAACACAGGGAGAGATCAGAAAGAGCCTTTGAGGAGGTAGGGCCCTGGAAACTCAGAGACAGACCCCGAAAATCAGTCTTTCAGGGAAAGGGTTTGGAGGTGTGTCATAAGGATGAAGGTTGTGGGTTGGGCCCTCCCAGGGGCCTGGGAAAAGCCTCAGAGGAATGGGGTCCCACAGGAGGCAGGGATTGTGGGTTCGTTCTCAGGGGCTCAGATGGGTGGGGGCAGCACCTTGACCTCTGACCTTGGTGCTCATTGGATAATGGAGAGGGAGCCAGTAGGCCGGGCAGTGCCTGGCCGGGGCAGCTGTGGGGGAGCCACGTGGGGGCTACGTGTCCTGGGCTGGAGGGGCCAGCAGGACCGGAGCTCTTCGCAGGGGTCAGTGGAAGTGTGCACGAAGCCACAAGAGATGCAGCACTGAGGGCTCCCTGGGACCGAGGTTCTCCTCCCTCTGTGGGGCTTCAACTCCCACGTGGCGCTGGGGACTGACCGGGGCAGGTCCTGGCTGGGGTTAGAGAGCCCAGACCCAGGAACCAAGAGGACAGAGTGTGTGTGAGTGTGCATGCGTGTGAGCGTGCACCTGCAGGCGTGTCCCCGGGGCAAAGGTACCAGAACGGGCCTTTCCAGCTGCAGCCAGCCCACCCTCAGCTCTCAGAGCGGCCAGGGGATTCAAACCATGGACCTTCTGGTCAGCAGGGCAACACGTACCAACCGCATCATCAGGACCCCTCAGCGGACTACAGCTTAGGTAACAACTTTCACACGCCCTGGGAGACCAAACCAGTTGTGTGACTCATCTTACTGTGGTGCGCAAAGGATTGTGGTGGGGGGAACCGAGGCCATGCCTCCCAGGAAGCCTCTGCTGCTCACACACGGCCCTCCAGTCTCACCAGCCTTGTTCCAGGTGAGAGGAGCACAGTCCAGCAGGGCCTCCGGGGCCTCTGTTGAGAACTGTCCTTCCTGCTGAGAGCCTCCCCAGGGTCCCTTCTTTTCTAGCTCACTGGAGTCCCCGAATGGCGCTCTCAGTCAGTGCGCTGTGAGTTCCAAGCCCACCCAGAGGGGCTCGGCGAAAAGCCGGGTGACTCACTTCTCCACAGATCAGGCATCAAAGCTCCAGGGAGCACAGCTCTGGCTGACGCGCGGGTCCCCAGAAAACCATGTGTTTCCCTACTTCAACCTGCTTGTCTGACAATGAAGAAAAGTATCTACAATCTCCAAACGTCCCCCAGAGGGCAGTAAACCCCTCAGAGAGGCTCTCCTGGTGCACCGCGGAGGCTCCCATGCTGCTTCCTGCCAGGGAGCATTCAACTGACCAGCTGGGAGGCCGGGAAAGGGAGAATGGCCCAGACATCTCCCTTCACCACCTCAAAAGCTTCCATGCCGAGCCCTGGGGTTTGGCCCAGGCTAGAGACACATTGCCAAGGAAGAAGCACTTCCAAGTCATGGGTCAGGCCACCTCACTCATCCTCAATGAGGAAGGTTGCAGCCCCCAAGCCCCGCATGGGGTCACTTGTGAAAACACCAAGCTTTCTTGTCTCCCCACAGATGCTAAGCACCGTTCCTAGTAACAGTATGCACAGATACCAGAGAAGCCTTGTAAACTGGAGCTGTGTTCTAAAGAAAAAGGTGTAAGGGATTATGGGATGACAGCTCCTTCAGGTCACTGGGCAAGCTTTAACAGACAAAGAAGAATGTGACCTCATGGATTCTGGACAAGTAAAACAGGAAGAGAATATGGTGAGCTGAACTGTAACTCGTTGCCAAGTGGATTTCTGCATGCCCTGACCCACCCGGACAGCGGAGAACTGCCTCACAAGGTTTCCAAAAGGGTAACCTTTGCAGGACGGAGCACCAGGTCTCGCGGACCCACGGCATGGGTTAGAGCCGCCTTCTTGCTCACCAACAGCTAAATTCTTTAGCCACTAAGCCCCCCTCCCCCCCTACCTCACTGCGGTGGACTCAGTTCCAGCTCGTGTACCCCTCACTGTGCTTCTGAGACACTGCGTCTCAATGAGGTGGAGACGGTCTCAGCTTTCCTGTGAAATGACTGGTAGATTTGAGTCACTGATCTTTCAGTTACAAATTCAATGCTTTAACCCACTATGCCACCAAACCCCACGCCCATCAGCATGGTTCTGACTCACAACAGCCCTTCCCTGGGAGGAGACCGCCCGCCCATCTTCCACTTGAAAGTGGCCAGTACATTCAAACAGCCAAATTTTTGGTTAGTAATCTGACACATTACACACTCTGTTACCAGGGCTTCCTAAATTATTAATGAT